GATTTGAGTAATTTTCCCAATCAAAATTTGCTGGCCGACATTATGATACAAGCTTGCACTTTACCTCTTAATGCTCAACCAAAATTTGAGGACACATTGAAAGATCCGTTAATAATACGACGTGTTGTCGAATTCCTCGTGATAGCCATGGTTGCAGAAGCAGCAACACCAACAGACCTCGTCAAGAAAGTCTTTATCGAGGAGTTGGCTAGAAGTGCTGTCTTAAAAAAACACTTTCCAGAATGGAACTCAATGCCGAAACTCGATGAAACTAGGAAAGACGTGAGAGGCAGCGGGAGAAGCCCGACCATGGATGATGTTGCTCTTAAGCTACTGTACATTATGAAAACTAACGGGGTTTGTCACTCAAATTTACTTTTTATAAATAAGATGTTAATGTCTAGTTGCTTTATTATTATTTTTAGATGACAAAGCGTTTGAATGTAGAATAAAAATGACCTTAGCTAGGTTTTTAAAATTAACCATCAATCATAAACGCTGGAAAACCATTAGTAAGAGATAAATACCGAGAACGGAGGCAATAAGCCTATAAAGCCCTCGGGGCCGACGTTCGAGGTATTTATCTGGCTTATTTCATACTTGAAGAAGTTTTCCAAGCACTGCATTAATATTTTCACTTTTAAATAGGCACTGAGAAGCCTTTTTTTATATGAATTAAAAACCAAAACCTCGATTAGAAAGGTTACGAAATTTACAGTATTGACAATTCCCAACGGGAATAATTTGCATAACCATTTTTCTCGTTAGTCCCATGAGAGCAACCTTTTGTAACAAGTAACTGGACAATGTTAAATAACTGTTTTATTCCATAATGGACATCGATTAGTCAGTTAGCATAATGTGTTAAGTATGCGATTTTCAAAGCTAAGGTTCTTGGGTTCGAATCTACTTGGTGTCATTTGAATTTTTCTTTCTTTCTTTCAAGTTTAAAGTTTCAGACGGAAAATTTCTAAGTTGAACGTAGTAGTTAATTTAATTAGGTATTCAAGGGCAATATACATTATTAGTTTCCAATTCACTAGGTTTTCTTTGTTATTCATAGGGTTGTATATACCATAGAAACTTAAAGCCGGGGAGGGATTTGATATTCAGCAGGGAAATGTGGGGTTGATGAATTGAATTGAATAGCTCGTTATAAATTCAGCYGGCTATATATGAGTGACCGGAATCAGTCATATATAGCCCGCTGAATTTATAACGAGTTATTCAATTCAATTCATCAACCCCACATTTCCCTGCTGAACATCAAATAAACTAAGTAAACTAAACTATTTTTKCCCTAAAAAAGACCAGTGCGGCCAGCAAAACTTGAGGAGATTTCGAGTGTAATAAGTTCGAGTCCCGCAGCTTTTCTTCATATGTTCATCWYAGKATAGAGACAACAATAACCAAGATCTTCGCCGTTACTTTTAAAAGAATCTATTCTTCGGAATTAACCAACGTGTATGAATCAGAAGTAATCGGTGTGACTTGGTCCATTCTATCCAAGCACGTACACACGGCCATTTGGTACTTTAGTTTGTTCCTTCTTGAATCCTTCCCTCGTATTTTTTCGAGCGAGTTCAACATCAAAAACTATTGTAATTTTTCTCATTTTTTTCCCATCTGCAGACTTTGTCATCGTTATTTGCGGGAAGAAGCATGCGGAGTTCCAAATCCGATAGCAAATCGTCAATATCAAAGTTCGGCAAAGGAATGATGTCAAACGTATTTTGAGCTATAAGCAAATCGTCACTGTTCGACATCGTTTCCAGAATGACTGTTAAGAATATTTGATAACAATATTCAAATTTCGATTGCTCGCTTTCGCATGAACAGGTTTTCTTAAAGGAAACTAATTTCAACAGTCCATGAAAAAGTCTCAAGAGAAGAGGATTCTATTGTTCGAAACCCAACTAAGAAAACATTCATTAAGTCTATTCAGTTTTTGCGAAAACCACGTGAATTGAAAACTAAGTTTGTTAGTTACCTCGCACGTCGGCATTACGCTATATACAGCCCTCGGGCCTGCGGCCCTCGGGCTGTATATAGCGTAATGCCTCCGTTCTCGGTAACTAACTCTTACATAATACATGCG